CCCTGGCTTCTTTGTTTGCCAATGACATGCTGTGTTTTGACAATTTATGGGGAGGTAATCGCTAAATGTGAAAAAACGAACTTAAGTGAAGTCCTCTCAAAGTCCACCGATTAAAACGAATCCACACTTTCCTGCAGCTGGACAATTCTAGGACGGATTTTATTTCGAACGAAGTTTGCTTTGGGCGTATTTTTTCCCCTGTTGCTTTCAGAATGGCCGTACTACTCACCAAGGTTTTGCGCTTGTATGACAACAAGGCGCACAGAAAGCAGTGTTGTCGATTGACCCTGTATTTAAGGTACACAAAATTCGTCTCCTTTGGACCTGCAAACAACGATTGCTTGCAGGCTTGCGTTTATTTTATTTGACCTCTAAAAAGCCTTATCACGTGGTTGTTTCTCCTGATTGGGTCTTGTGTAAGTGCAACATAAACAATTACAGGTTAAAATAGATGCTGCGTAAGTAACCAAATTTACCTGCAGGTTACTCAGCAAATCTTGTCAACTTAAATTGGTTGGGCCCAAGTTTGATTCACGTCAACCACGTTCAGCATTGAATGATTGCATTGGCTAACCGATTAAGCGATCTCCGCATGTCGTCAAGGGTCGAGAACAGAGCCGCAGCCCCTGGGCGCAGGAATTCAAGATGAGGTGGTCACGAGTTTAAGGAAAACAAAAGCTGTATTGCCTGATCCATAGTCCTCACTTTTCGGGTGAGAGCAGCACCGGTAAGTATGTAATTTTTTTCAATATTGGCTGTTTCTTCACGCATTCCAGGTATAGACAAAACACATCTCTATCACATCCATATTGTAATTAATACCACTATCAGACCGCCATGAAAACGTGCTCCGTTCAATAACTTGTAGATTATTTCATGATTGTTGGCCCAGCGACCTGCCATTTTTTGCCAGCCCTGCCGAAGACGTGCTCATCCTAACCGAGTAATTTTCGAACCATTTTCAGCAGTTTCGCCGTGGGTATTGTTTTATAAATGTTCTCGAGTGATAAGTACTGTAAACCGTAGGACCAATGAGAGGTTCAAAGGATTATTTTTTCTTCTCTGTTCGTCCCAGTGTAGCACGGCAAATTAGGCCTACGTTAGTCATGGGTGATATTGTGAAGCCGTGCCCCTCCGACGAAGGCGAGGGCGCCCTCTTCCTCGAGGCGCGGTGCGTCGGACGGCACGCCGGAGAGTCCCTGAGCGGCTAGGGAGGTGTCTGTTGGGACCGGAGTATACCGTCCCCCAAGAAAGTTGGTCTTCGTCGAGATGATGGCTAATCTAATTGGTCGAAACATAAAGACGTAACCCAGACAGACCTGACTTGAAATAAACTTCGCCTGGACTCCTGACTTATATACAACAATTAACAAGCGGCTGGTTTATTCATCAACAAACTCAACCAATACACCAGTAGAGGGCGCTATTGACGGGGCGACTGTGTGATTATACGTGACCGGACTTCGCCCAGAGCAGCGAACACCACAATTAGTTGTGGGCATCCAGTGCCGAATCAGGAACTTTAGCAACTCTACGGGGCTTATTGTCAGGGCTGCGCTACACGCAACTGACGTCACGAGATAGCAATCCGCCCTTGCATCGACCGCAAGCTCCTATCAGGAACTATACTGCACCACCAATTAGCCCCTCAACATACCGAGCCCCTCAACGACACACGCACCACTCGGACTTAGGCACAACACTAGGCTAGGTGACTTTAACCCTTGTACAGGATTCTTGACCCTTACCTTGGGATCAGCCCTTGACCAGGACGACTAGCCTTGCTTAGCGCGCGCCTTTTATAGCCTTTGTGCTGCTTTGACCACGCCCGCGCACGCGCTCACGTGACCAAGCAGTGACTGCCGCTGCCCTATTGCACAACGCACAAGGCGGAGCCTATGTGCCGCGCTTGCTTAACACACAGCTATGCGCGCATAACGTCGGCCTCTGTGACTGGTCAGAGCGCCATCTATAACTTTGCACCGCGCCTAGTGACTAGCGCCCTCTGTCACGTCACAATATTAAGCTGTGTCGAGGATGCACGGAGATTAGCAGAGCTTCGGATTGCTATCGTTAATTATTCATAAAGGGGAGTATCCGGTGTTATAATTTTGAATGATTGTTGCATTTCGTGATAAATAGGCTTCCATCGCCGGCTAAGACGGTCGGGAACTGTTGTTTTCTTAACTATGGAGGCCGAGTGGTGCCATGGTTTCGGTACCGATTTCCTTTGTGGGGAAACCTTTTGAGCGTTGTTCGCAGTCCTTATTATTACTGTTAGAGAGTTCCTCATTCCAAGATGTATTGTGAACCATGTATGTCACCATAAGATAAATCACAATACTGAAATTTGCGGAGATTGTTCAAGTGATAGCTTTGTGAATTACTTCACACACCGGTAATGTTTACCTTGTGTTTCAATGAACATTGTAGCGAGATGATGGTTAATTGTTGTTGTGCATCTTGCAGGGAGGTGGTAACAAGTGTGCTCATTTTGTCATATATGTATTGAACCTGATTTGTGAAACTGGTTTTTGATGTTCATGTAGCTACGGTAGCCAGGCTGTGCCATTACTAGGGGTAAGCAAGCATAGAACTCAGGCAACACACTCACTCAGCCGATTGTTTGAGCGTGTTGTGGTATTACCACGTACTTTATTTAGCTTTTGTTGTACTTATAAAGTTTTCTAATTTTATAAGGTACTCGCCAATTGTGCTGTTAATTTTGCCAATTTTTGCCAATCAAATCAACTATTTACTGTTTCTTATCTCCTTTTCGTGTTCCTTCATTGATGTTCAGCCTCTTCGTCATGTTTAATGTGAAAAAGAAAAATTCAACATATTTTTGAAAAAACTCAACATCTCAAGAACAGAACAAACAACATATACAGAATAACGCTGACTATAGCTTTGGCAAATTAGTCAACTAAAAACAACTCGAAAATGTGCAGACATTTTTCTGCTTCAATGTAAAGAAAAAGATTTTGATCCAAAGAATCAATGTCTGTTCTGCTTGAGGTAAATTTGAATTAAATTTAAAGGTTTCAGAAGAGTATGCGATAATGTACTGACAGAGGCACCTTATACACTTTATTGCGCCATGGCCTTAATTTACCAGCATGCACCATTTGGCCTTTAAGTCGGATGGGATTCGTTGCTGTTCAAAATAAAATTGGGCAACTTTATAGCTGATATTTGATATTAATTCAGTTAGTCCTATTGATAAAACGAGATGGTTTAAGTGTCTTAGAATGTTATCATGGATGCATGTCTGGCCTGGAGTCCTTTAGACAAGTGGGTAGCTTGCATTGGTCGCGATACCACACTGGTTGTTCTTGAAGCGAGACATCATGATGTACCCCTTCATACCCCACTTTTTGCCCCAACTGAAACCAAACAAAATGAGGGGAACTGTTATATTAAAAGTCCGTTTTTAATGTTTCTTTGAGATTTCTAACGGGTTTGCATGCCTTAACTGCTAACAATAAATACGATCAATCCTCTGGAGGGCGTTCTACCCACCTGTTCTTGACCAGCCAGTAGTCTTTGCCCTCCTCCATGCCATAACCGACTGCCAGCACGCCGTGGTCAAGGGCAGTCTGGCTACATTGAGGCTCATTGTAGACACCTATAGGGGTTCGAAAAGTACTTTGAAAATTGAACGACGAAATGACAATGACAGCTTAACGACACAGACACAAAGAGCAGAAACAGAATAAAGAGGAAATGCCGATTAAAAGTGATTTAAAAAGTCGGAGGAAACATAAAAATAAAGGCGTGTGATGATACAAATAACGTCAATTAACGACAGCAGTACTAAAATCAGCAATAGACACCACAGTGACGTTACAAGACGAGACATGTTGTTACCTTTGTCGTACATCTGAAAGGACGGGTGACTGGCGTCAATAGCAACGCTAATTGGTCCAATGGTTGCTACGGCCTTTTGCAGCGCCTTCTCATTTTTGGCGGGCAGCAGAACGTGTGTCTTATCGGTGGCCACTACGTTAGCTGGATTGAAGTGGCATTTCCTATCCTAAATAAGCGCCAAATGCATGTCGAAAATCACAGAAGGTAAGGTAAAATTGCCTAAAATCCGTAAACATCCGTCATCTTAAAATTAACATTTAACAAAATAAATTTTGGCTTCTGAAATTAAAATCCGGTCTTGAAATAAACAAGGCCACCCTAGCAGAGAAGATATTTTCCTTACTTGTGCTTTATATGGGTAGGATGATTCGGAATCGATTCCATTGTTGTCATGGACGTATTGGAAAGCACCGTTCATGGTGCCCCCTTCGCAGCCATGGCAATCATATGAAGGTTTCCTGGCGCAGTCCACCAGGTTTTGCTCGCTGATACTGGGTAGTTTGCCTGTCTTATTGAAAGTCTGACCCTCTAGAGCACCGGTGGCACTGAAGGCCCAACACGAACCGCACTGACGCTGGAAAAATGTAATAGAAGAAATACATCGAATCTCTCAAATCACATCAAATCGAGATATATTTGTCTGTTCTCTATGCAAGAATGCAGCTACACAAATGCAATGTCAGTGACATGTCTGCTCCGGCTTAGAAGCTAAACGATTCTGTCTCCTTTCATCCCTTGATCGTTCTCTGACAGGTAAAGATGTGGGTATACAATCACCTGTCCAGAGGAAGGGAAGTTGTCTTTCCGGTGTTGAACAAGTTCCATTTCTGTGGGAATTACTCTTTGCTAGACCACCCCCGTACTGTTTTTTTCCCTGTCAATCCAGCATCTTTTGAGGAACAAGACTCAATATAATATGAAATCAACAGTGAAAGTCATATATCAAACATATGTGTCATATGTCAAACGAATCTACATTGTTTTGATGCAGTTTCATCGACAAGGACGAGGTACAGCGTGCTACATGAAATAAAATTATTCATGGGTATAATAATTATTGCAATTATTTTTTCATTTTTCCCCTGTGAGCCAACTGTATTTCCAATCAGCCAGTTCCTTTCACGTCAGTATTAAAATTCCTCCGTAAAAACTGAACGTCACGCCATAATGCGCAAACCCGCCTGTACACGAATAGCTTAAAGCCTACGTCTGAAAACAAAACAAAACAAAATAAAAATGGCCAAAATCACAAGCCAGAAAGAACCTCAAAAATTCCAGGTTCCCAGGAGGGCTTTGAGAACGGAGAGTGATCACGGTCCCTGAGGTATGAATGATGTAATGCACCATACAAAGGCTACTTGCCCGGAGGTTGTACGTTTTCAAGAACTGAGGTAATGCTAGGAGAAAGCTCACAAACAGCTAGCATGATTTGTCTTAAGCTATAGACTGAAATGGCTTTCACTCATCTAAATTCTCTTGGCAAATTCTCAATGTGTGTTTTTCCCTTTTGACGCAAAGTGTAATCTATTTTTAAAATCACAGCCAGTGTTGAATTAATGAAGAAGATTGCCCCGTTCAAGGGCAGATCCCAACCAAATTTTCGGAAAGCTTAACTTGCACCACTGTAAAAGTCGTCTTGGGTTCTTGGTACATTGCAAAAGAGTTTCCCAAAATCTGAACTTTAGACTGGGCTCAACATAAAGGATAGATCAGATAAACGGACTTTAGGACAGTGAAACAGTTCACGATGAAACAATATCGAACTTGAAAGTTCTTGTGGGAGGGAGTACGAGACAGTGGGGATTTCATAAAGGAAGCATCCAACAGCAACAATAACAACAGCAAAATCAAAAGCAGATGTGACTTTTAATACCTGATTTTTCACTCCAGTAACCCATCCCTTTTTGCGCCAGTCTACGGTAGTTGGAAGGTTGCTGATATCAGTGAAGGTGTTCATTCCCTCAGGGGGGACTTTGTCCATCACAAAGCCGTTCATCTTTTTCTTGAACTCAGAGGATGTCTAAAAGTTGGAAAGCGAATATTTTCAGGAGAGGTAAAACATAGAGGGGTGTAATTTGGATGGTAAAGTGGTTAGGCCATTACAGATTAGAGTGAATGTAGTTTACTTCGTGTGAATCTCTTTATAATTGCAAAATGTGTGAGTCGATTCTGTCTTCCGATGTGTGATAGATCATATGTGATTGCCAGGGTGTACGAAATACACTTTTGCTGTAACTTTACATCATTTAGACCAAGAAGAATCGATTCTAACGGTACTCTGCAGAAACTGATGGCATGAGACGGCAGAACTCACCATGTCGGCGTACTCGTTCATGGCCATAGTGAAGGAGGTATGCCCCAGGGCGTATCGCTGGTTGTGCTCGGTCACTATCTTGTAGTTGTACTCCCAGACAAAGCGACGGTACTCCTCCTCTTCAGCCTCGTACACTCTCTGGTTGTTTTCCTTCCACATCTGCCATTTTTGGTCCAGGTTGGGGCTGGTAGCTAGAGCCACAGCCACGCTCAGTGCAAGGATCAGGAACTTCATGGTGTTTGATCTGATTATGACTTTAATGGAACTGCATGAGAATAAAGGCTGCAAATGTTTAGAAAAGGAAAGAAATATGTAAAAAGAAGTGCGACTTTCAATGACCAATGAAATAATCTACAAGTTATTGAACGGAGCACGTTATCATGGCAGTCTGATAGTGGTATTAATTACAATATGAATGTGATAGAGATGCGTCGTTATTATTAAATGTTTATACACAAAATGCATGAAGAAACAGACAATATTGACGAAAACATGACTTAATTACCTACCGGTGCTGCCCTTACGCGATAACTGAGGATTATGGATCAGGTGATTCAGCTTTTATTTCCTTAACCTCGTGACCACTTCAGCTTGAATCCCCGTGCCCAGGGGATGTGGCTCTATTCCTGATCCTTGACGACAGGGAGACCACTTAATCGGTAAGGCAATTCAACCATTTCATGCTGAATTAGGTTGACGTGAGTCGAACTTGGGACTAACCAATTTAAGTTGACAAAATTTGCCAAGCAACCTGCAGATAAGTTTGTTTACTAACGCAACCTCTATTTGAATCTGTAATTATTTACATATAATGTCGGTTTCTGTTGGTAGTCTGGTATCCAACCTAACAAACCAGAAAACGAACCGTCAATAGCGGAAAACTACAGCTGCGGCACTTATTGCCCTTTACATATTTACACTCGTGACTACATGATACCCACTTACCTGTCCAGTTATCACCTGTGTAAACTGACTTTGCCCCCCCCCCGCTGCGTCACTTGAGCAACATTTTTACCAACACTTATCTGCTCTATTTTCAACAAGAAGCACCACAACTTGTCACGAAGACGACAAAAAAGAGAATGTATGAGATACTTTCAGATCCACAGCGGCTACTGTTCTACTGTGGTATACTTGGGGTGGAATGGAGGGGGGGTAACAGGTGTGAACGCATATTTTTCATGGAGGCCAGTGGCCTAGGGGAACAGATTTTGCCCTCTTAACGGTTGTTAAATTGTTTTCAATCCATCAGAGAATCCTCTAGTACCGTTTGAAACTGCTGGCTGGTGCTTTCAATTTCTAGAAACAAAAGGCCGCTTGGTCCCCCCCACGGCACCGAGGGGCGTTTCCCTGATTCATCCCCGTCATTTTGCACGAGACCCAATCACGAGACAACAACCACGTGATGAGGCCTTTTTTTAGATCAATAATGTCAAAGAAACGCAAGCACGCAATCGTTGTTTACAGGTCCAAAGGAGACGAACCTCGTGTTCCATCAAATCCAGTACTTATGTTTGCAGAACAAGGTCCTAAATACGGGGTCAATTGACAACATTGCTTTCTGTGCGCCTTGTTGTCATACAAGCGCAGTGCCTGGTTGGGTATTACTGCCATTCTGAAAGCAACAGGAAATAAAAATCACACCCAAAGAAAGCTTCGTTCGAAATAAAATCTGTCCTGGAATTGTCCAGCTGCAGGAAAGTGTGGATTCGTTTTAATCGGTGGACTTTGAGAGGTTTGATAAGGAGTTCACTTAAGTTCCTTGTTTCACATTTGACAAATACTTCCCCATAATTTATCACAACACAGCACGTCATTGGTAAACAAAGTGGCCATG